CCTTCGTGTTTAATTTTATTTTTGGTTTCTGTCGCTGCAGAAGATGAAGAAGGTTCGCCGCACGCGGCGGGGGAGGGCTCTGCCACCCTTCCGTCCCTTCGCGCAGCGACTGGGGGAAAATTGCCAAGAGTAACAAAAAGGACACAGAATCACCAAATCCTGGAATGGTTTGGGATGGAAGGGACCTGAAACACCATCTCGTTCCACCCCCCTGCCCTGGGCAGGGACACCTCCCACCAGCCCAGGTTGCTCCAAGCCCCGTCCAACCTGGCCTTGAACACCTCCAGGGATGGGGCAGCCACAGCTTCTCGGGGCAACCTGCCCCAGGGGATCACCACCCGCACAGCCAAGAAGTTCTTCACAATATCTCATCTAAATCTCCCCTCTTCCAGTTTGAAGCCATTCCCCCTCATCCCATGGCTCCCCTCCCTGATCCAGAGTCCCCCCCACCTCTCCTGGAGCCCCTTTAGGCACTGGAAGGCCTCAAGGGGGCCAAACCTCCAAATCTCTTTTTAAACTTACCCACTACTTTCATAAAATAAAAATAACATTTTCATACTTCAAAATGGCTATGAGGAAGTGAGACTCAAATCCACCAATTTTCAACCCCCCCTGTGTTGGTTACCTTGACCATGTAACCCAGAAACACTGAGATGTGGAAACGTGCCCTTGCCTGGCGGCACGGCAGCACCGCCTCGCTTTGCCGCAAACGGAAACATTTCCAGCTCTCTCTGTATTATTTTTGGCAGTTCCGTTTGCAGAATCTTCACCCTCATTAACATATATTTTGAATCCCGTTAGTTATCTTTGCTGATGACAGGTCTTCCATCGTATTTAAGAAGTCGTGGCAGTTTGGTAAAGTTTCCGCTGACTGGAAAAGGGGAAATAAAACCCCCATTTAAAAAAAGGGGACAAAGGAAGATGCGGGGAACTACAGGCCGGTCAGACACCACGGAGCAGATCCTCCTGGAAACCCTGCCCAGGCACGTGGGAAATAAGGAGGTTGATTGGTGACAGCCAACGTGGCTTCATGAAGGGCGAATTGTGCCTGACAAATGTGGTGGCCTGCCCGGGGCTGGGGGTGAACAGCAAAGTCGGTCCGAAAATTCGCAAGTACACATTTTGCAAACTGAGAGGAAAAAAAAAAATCACCCCAAAAAAAAAAAAAAAAGAGAAGGGGACGATGCAGTGCTGAGATGAAGCAGTCGGGGTCAGCGCAGCGCCGAGGACACGGCAGGGCCAGCAGCAGGTCGCGGCTCCCAGCCCTCGCCAGCGCCCTGCGGGCAGCGACCTTCCTCTAGCAACATGGGTCTTGTGTGTTGGAAAAGGCTCCACGCAGAGGAAGCTTCCAATGATGCCATTTAAATGCTTGATTTCACGTGGGTTTTGTAAAATTATCTTGCGGAAACACTGAGCGAGAACCTCCACGGTCTAAGCAACGACTGGATGTCGGAGGGGTTCAGCTTGCCCGGCTCTGTGCTGCCGGCTGCCCCAGACACGCCGGCTTAGCACCTCCCTGCTAATGAGCAATCGCAGCAAAAGATTTAAGAAAAGCAGCTAATGAGGCTCAGTGAAACAAGCCCGTAATTCGGTGGGGTGGGGTGACCCTGCCGGGCAGCGGCAGGACGTGCCCTGAGGAAGGCAAAGGCACAGTGCTGGTGCCTGGGCGCTGATGGAGTGCTCGGTCCCTCCTGCGCCTTTTCTGTCCCTTCTTA